GGGCGGGAAGACAGAAACCCAGAAAATATGGGAAGATATGGGGGGGTACTTTATCTGTGTGTATTTCTTTGTGTGTCCTTGGGCCCCTTCAAAGAAGTCCGCGCGCGGAGGCGATCGCCAACGTTTATGCCGTTTTTTTTTCCCTCCTCGAGCCGGGTGGCCCTTCGCAGGAGGTGGCCTCGGGCCCGCGGCCGCCGAGGGGGCGCCCGAGGGCCGAGCCGCCGGGCCCCCAGGCACGCAGCCCGCCACTGCCGCACCGTGCACCGTGGCCCGCAAGCCGCAGACCAGGGGCCACTCCCCTTTCGCCCCCCTCGAGAGAAAACTTCTCAGGAGGGGAAAGAACACACAGACACAAGTAATCGTCGATTCCCCAGAACATGGGAAAATATGGGAAGTGGGGGGGAAGACAAAAACCCAGAACACATGGGAAAATATGGGGAATCCTTTTATTTGTGTATTTATTTGTGTGTCCTAGGGCCCCTTTAACTTCGGAGATCCGCGTGGGCCTCTCGCATCGGCGCTCGGCCTCGCGCCGCCCACGGCGAGCTCCGCTTGCCAGGGAGCGGGGTGCAGCGCCGATCCAAGAACTCCGCGCGGACCTTGGAACTTGCACGTCCATTGTTCTGTTTGTTCCTCTGTCGTTTGGCTCAAGCACGCGCGCCCGATATGACTGCCAGCGCGCCTGCTGCTATTTTCTGAGAGGGAGAGGATTGCGATCCGTATCTTCCACCCCCTTACATCCCATACCGTTCATGGTCATGTATGTGGAAGCGATGCACCATTTGATGTCTCCACGCTGACTTCGATTATCCGAAGCGAACGGGCGATAGGGCCAGCATAATTGTTTTCATGATAGGTGTTTGATGGATTTGGGCCTCTTTGGGGTCTCCTCTGGAGGCTCCGCGGCCGCTTGGACCCGTCTCGGACAGGTGTCGGGGCCTCCTGGGGCATGTTTGAAGCCATCTCGAGCGATCTTGCACTGAGAGGTCATCTTGGCCATCTGAGAGGTCATCTTGGGCCATCTGAGAGGTCATCTTGGAAGCCATCTCGAGCGATCTCTTGGGCCATCTGAGAGGTAATCTTGGGTCCCTCGGAGGCCCTCTGGGAACCATGGTGAGCGCTCCACCGCTTCGCCGGAACCCCCTCCGGAACGAATAGTGGCATAAGCTTCTTGCGTCTTTGGCGAGGCAGGGGTCGTCTGCGCTAGCTGGAAGGCCCAAACGGGGGTGCCGTTGAGCCGAGTTTGTGCCGCCGGGCAGGACGGGGGGGAGGAGGCGGAGGACGCTGCCGAAGGAGGGGGCGGAGGGAGCGAGCCGCTCAGGGGGACGGGCCACGCCCCGAGGGCGTGGCACCGCCAGAGCATGGCCTGAGCAGAAAAATGCTCGGAGCTCCGCGCGGAGCTCTCTTGGATCCGTGCGGAGTTCTGAGTCGTCATGTGTCTGTCATTGTCTTGGCATTGCTCGGACGTGTGCATCTTTCTTTCGGCGAGGACTATCGAGGAGCATCCTTGATCATTTGGCGAAAAAGCCGCGCACGGAACCGAAAAAAACACAGGGAATGGACGTCCGAGCGATGGCCAGTTGTTCGTTCCCCTGGGGAAGCGTTCTGCACCTGTTGCGCCCTAAAGGACTGGAGGGATTCCATAGCGGCGTGGTCACCCCCATGACTGCAGAGCAAGCGATCCAGGGTGCCCCCCCCCCATCATGTTTGCCACGCTTCACGACGCCCCGCGGGCCCCGCGATGCCCGAGCCGCACCCACCGAGGTGTTTTGGTGGGGAGCGCCCGACGCCGAAGAAGTTTCGCCCGCTGGCTGCCTCCCCTCTCTTGCCTCGTGCTCTCCCGCTGTTGTTTTTCCTTGTGTTTGCACGGCGGCGGTCCAGCTGCAGTGTCTGAGCGCAGTCGCCCAGGGGGCAGGCACAGGCGACGTCTGCACCCCGGTTCGCGTGCGCGGATGGTGGCGGAATTGCGCGCGCGCGGAAGCTCCGGAGATGGGGGGCCGCCTCAATGGGGTCGACGGTCTAGCTCTTTAGGTGCACTTGCCCCAGCAGCGTGCAGGCGCTTCGGTGGTTCAGAGCGTGAATTACCTACCCCGCTTTCGCTTCCAGGCAAAACCAAGTCGTACCACGCGCCTCCTCGTCAAGCGGCCTGACCAGTACAGGCCGTAGTTTGGCATCGCGTGGTATCTCTTGGAAGCGAGGGTGGTCAAAAGCGAGGTAGGTTTGTTTTTACTTAGTGATGTGTTTCTCTTGGTCCTCCTGCCCCCCCCCTCAGTTGCGTCGTGTGCCTCTATCTCTCTCTCTCTCTCTCTTCGTCTTCCCTGCTTCCAATCCCAGCAGGCACCCGGTTCCGATCCCCGCCTGCTTTCGTCCAGGGAGGCAGGCGCGCGCTTGCAAAACTTGAGCTTTCACACGCGTTGGCATGTTCGACGATCTCTTTGTATTCTCGTCTCGATCTCTCCCTGCCTCTCCCCCCGTTACTCTGCTCCTTTGTTTGTCTTTCTTCATCCCCCAGACCTCTCTTGGCGCGCGTTTGGGTTTGGTTTTCTAGGCGAATCCAGCCCCGGCATCAGCGAGCCTCCCCGAGGCCCAGAAATTCGGCCCGAACATGCTTACAAGCCCCGAATCGATCATCGGATTTCGATCATCGAACTTGGAGGCTTCGTCCTCCCCCTCCTTCTCCGCGCTGGGCGCGCGGCCCGGAGGTCGTGCTGCGTGGCTTCTGGGAGACGTTCGACGACTACGAGCGGGAGTTCAGCGGGTCCGTCCGCGACAACTTCCGGAAGGGGCACTCGGTGTACCCTTCTGGCCCGCAGAAGGGCCGCCTTTCTCAGAGGGTTCAGACACGTGGAGAAGAGGAAGAGGTTCGGGGGTGGGCAGAACCCCCACCCTGACACGTCGATTAGTGAATTATCCGTTTTCGGTTCGAGAGGGCGCCGCGGCCGTCATTTTCTAGGCTTGCGCCTGCCAGGTTTGGGCCCGAGGTCGTTTTCACTAAACCACGTTTGACTAAAGGGGGTTCTGTCCATCCCCGAAAGGTGGAGGAAGAGAAGGAGGAGGTGGAGGCGACGTCAAGAGGAAGGAGAGGAAAGCACGAGGATGAAGGCCAGAGTCAACCCAAGATGCATACGGGACGCTGCAATGCGGCCGGACCGAGGTATAAGATCGAGGTCTGTTCGGGGAGGTTGCCCCGCTGTTCTTCGTGCTTGCTGAACTGTCCCGTGCATCGTGGGGGAGGCTACCCTCAAGTGTTCTTCAGGTTGGCCGGCTGAGGGTCTCCTGTCTTGATGAATGTCCTTCGGTCTTAGGTCGAGCAGTTAACCCTCACGTGCCGTGACTTCCCTTCATACGCCCCCCTCCCCCACGTCCTCCTACTCGCTACAGGAAGCGCCCTCTTGAAAGACCAGCAGCGATGGGACTCCCAGTTTGGCGAGGACGCTGCTTAGAATAGTAGCTCCATCACATCTTTCTGGCGCGTATTCTCGACATCAAGAAACATGATCTCCTCCTCCTCCTCCTCCTAATCCTTCCTCCTCCTCGATCATACATTTCCACGAGGTGTTCAGCGATATCCCCCGTTCGAAGAAGGGTCCCCCCCCTTCATCGGCGTAATTGTTGAATGCGGTTGCACTTGTGGCCATTAACGTGGAGGAGCAGTCGAGCGCCAGCTCCGTGTCGAAGCACAGATGCCACAGATCCGTGCAAGTGATCATTCTCTCATTCATTGTCTTGCCGATCGGCACGGGCCCTCGCACCCCCTCTCCCCCCCATGGAGTACACCTTAGGCGATGCTTAAGAAAACGTAAGTTTTCGGCCAGAGTCTCGATTATTCTTACTGTTTCAATGTAAATCCTAAGAATTTGGTAGGAACTTGGAGTTTTTACTCCAATTCTGAGACTATGAATTTCTTAACCCATGATTTCTTAAGCATTTCGCAGGGTGTAGATGTTGGCATTTTTTGGCGTCTCTGGCAGGTGGAGTCTCCCCCATGGGACGCACTGCGGCAAACAGTCGCACTAAGCAAAGGTCCGGAGCCAGACTCCCCCGCCCCTCCTTCCGCCCCGTGTCGAAACGCCGCATAAGAAAACGTTCACCAACACTCGGTGTGTTGCCGTCTCGGGCCTCTAACCTTCACGAAGTCTCAGGCGATGAGTCAACGTTCTAAAAAAGCAGCTCTCGATCTTGCTATTCACTCACTCTATTTTCTATATCAAAAGTCCGCCCACCACCCCGGCGCCCCACCGACCGCTAAGTGCCCGTGGGGTAGTCCAGAATTTCGGCGGCCCAGCGCTTCTAGGCTTGAACTGGGCTGCCGTCACCGTGGCCGTCGCGGCCGCCGTCACTGTCGTCGTCGCCGTGGCCGCCGTCGCTGTCGTCGTCGCCGCCCCCCGCATCGCCGTCGCCGCCACCGTCGGCGTCGCCCCAATTTACGGACTCGCCCCAGGCGTTTTGCCTTGTGTTCAGCCGCCCTCATCCTGTTCATCCCTTCCTCCCTGACCCCAGCTGTCCTCTTCCGCCTCCTCCCCGGTGGCACGACAGGTACGAGGAGCTCCAGACTCTCTGGGGCAAGATTCAAGGACCAAATCCTCCGTCTGAAGAAGAGGCGTGGGCGGGGTTGAGGACGAGTAGGGAGAGGAGGATGAGTGGAAGGTTGAAGCAAAGGGCAGGAGGACGTAGGAGGGAGAGGAGGAGCACGAGTGACCGCGATGAGTTCTGGTCGAAGTGCCATGATCGCGGCTGAGTCGACCGATCCACTCTTGCACATCCTCTGCTCCCTTCCCCACCCCCTCGCGCCCCTCCTCCCCTGCTTCTCTGACTCCCTCCGCTTCTCCTCCCCCTCCCTCCTCATTTCCCTTCCATCGCTCCTCCTCAGCTACCCAGCACCTCTCTCCTCAGAGATTGCGCCAAGGGGGCGCCGCTTCACCCGCATATGTTTGCTGACGCACGGCATCCCAGGATCTCTCACGTGATTTGCATGTGCTTCCTTTGTGCGGGTCGGAGCGCCGTGGTCTGCTGCGGCGCTGTGCTCCCGCGGCAGCGTTGGTCGGATCTGGGGATCCGCGCTCGTGCTCCCGCCGTTCGGAATGGCGTCCTCGCCGCAGCACGGGCCACGGTGCTGCATCCGAGTCAGTCGTCGCCGCCGTCGTCGTCGTCGTCGCCGTCGCCGTCGCCATCGCCGTCGCCGTCGCCGTCGTCGTCGTCGTCGTCGTCGTCGCCCCCTTCTTTTCCCTCCCACGCCCCCCCCTGGCCCTGCTCCCCCCCCACTCTTGCGGCTCCCGCTGCCGCTGCTGTTCCCCATCGTCCTCCTCCTGCGTTGTCCTCTTCCTCCTCCTCATCCTCGTCCTCATGTTCATCCGCCTCATGCTCATCGTTGAGAGGCAACTTTGAGTCCGCTAGGACTCCCGCGGGCGGATAGGGGAAAATCTGCGCAATGGGAAGGGATGGGTGGAACGGAGGGGAAGTCAGGTATAGCTCGAGCGCACCTAGCTTGCCTCGCCCCCTTCCTCCTGCCCCGTTTCCGTTCACCTCCATTTTTATTTTTCTCTTTCCTCACCTGTTCTCCGTCCCTCCGCCCTCAACCTTTTCCGCCCCTCCGTCCTACGACTTCTGCTATAACAGAAACCGTTCTTCCGTCCCTCCGTCCTCCTCATCCTCAGCCGGTACAGGCATCCCTCCACTCTTCGGCGGGAAGGCCGATCCCGGAGCTTCCCCAAACGCTTCTACCCCCGACAAGCTCCGATGGGGTCCGTCGTCCCCCGTCATCGTCTGACCGATCCCCGCCCCCACGGGGCCGTGGCTTTTACCTCAGCACAGGCCCCGCGAGACCCGAAGGGATTTGCGCACAGGGGCAGTTCGGCCAGCGAAGGCCACGCCAGTGGGGATGGGGATCGGTAAAACGATGCTCGTCCGCCTCTCCTTCCCCCCCATCCCTTCCCCCTTCTCCTCCTCCTCCTCCTCCTCCTCCGCCGCCTCCTCTCCCCTCTCCTCCTCCCTCCCTCCCTCCCTCCCTCCTCCTCCCTCCCTCCCTCCCCTCCCTCCTCCCTCCCTCCCTCCCTCCCTCCCTCCCTCCCTCCTCCCCCCCCTCCTCCTCCTCCTCCTCCCCTCCTCCCTCCTCCCCTCTCCTCCTCCTCCTCCCCCTCCTCCTCCTCCTCCTCCTCTCTCCTCCTCCTCCTCCTCTCCTCTCCTCCTCCTCCTCCTCCTCCTCCTCTCCCCTCCCCTCCCCCTCCTTCCCCCCCCTCGTCCTACTCCTCCTCCTCCTCCTCCTCCTCCTCCTCCTCCTCCCTTCTCCTCTCCTCCTCCTCCTCCTCCTCCTCTCCCTCCTCCTCTCCCTCCTCCTCCCTCCTCCTCCTCCTCCTTTCCCCTCCGTCCTCCTCCAGTTCTTCCTCCTCCTCCTCCCCTCCTCCGCCTCCTCCTCCTCCTCCTCCTCTCCCTCCTTCTCCCCCCTTCCTCTCCTCTCCTCCTCCTCCGCCTCCTCCTCCTCTCTCCTTCTCCCCCTCGTCTCCTCCTCCTCCTGCTCCTCCCCTTTCCCCTCCTCCTCCTCCTCCTCTCCGTTTCCCTCCTCCTCCTCCTCCTCCTCCCCGCCGACATATGCAGTTGGCCCCCCCGGGCCGTGCTGGCCGTGCCCTCGGCTCTTTCCGCCTCCTCCCGCGTCGAGTGGCCCGGGCTCCCCTTCCTCGGACGGGTCCCGCCTTCGTTCGCTCGGCCTTTGCTGGGCCAGCGTGCCGCCCAGTGCGGGGCCACGCCCCCAGACCTCCTGCTCCTTGTTTTTTTTTCCGTGCTCGGCCTCCAGGATCGTCTGGCCCTGGGGTGCCCTAGGGCGGAGGAGCGGGGGAGCCCAGGCCATTTCGTCGGGGGAGGAAGCGGAAAGAGCCGAGGGCACGGCCAGCACGGCCCCGGGGGCCCACCCGCCTATGTCGGCGGGCGGGGAGGAGGAGGAGGAGGAGGAGGAGGAGGAGGAGGAGGAGGAGGAGGCAGAGGCAGAGGCAGAGGCAGAGGCAGAGGCAGAGGCAGAGGCAGAGGCAGAGGCAGAGGCAGAGGCAGCAGCAGCATCAGCAGCAGCAGCTGCAGCAGCAGCATAATAATAAGAAGACTAAGACTACTAAGAAGAATAATAATAATAAGAATAAGACGACGAATAATAATAATAATAATAATAATAATAATAATAATAATAATAATAAGAGTAATAAGAAGAGGAGGATGAGGAGGAGGAGGAGGGGAGGGCGGAGGGGGAGGAGGAGAGGAGGAGGAGGAGGAGGAGGACGGAGGAGGAGGAGGAGGACGGAGGGGGAGGAAGGAGGAGGAAGGAGGCGGAGGAGAGGGGAGGAGGAGGAGGAGGAGAGAGAGGAGGAGGGAGGAGGAGGAGGAGGAGGGAGGAGAGGGAGGAGGGAGGAGGGAGACGGAGGATGGAGGACGGAGGAGGACGGAGGAGGACGGAGGAGGACGGAGGAGGACGGAGGAGGACGGAGAGAGGAGGAGGAGGAGGAGAACAGGAGGAGGAGAAGGAGGAGGAGGAGGAGGAGGAGAAGGGGGAGGGGGAGGGGGAGGGGGTGGGGGAGGACGGAGGAGGACGGAGGAGGACGGAGGAGGACGGAGGAGGAGGAGGAGTGCAGAGGGAGGAGGGAGGAGGAGGAGGAGGAGGAGGAGGAGGAGGAAGAGGAGGAGGAGGAGGAGGAGGAGGAGGAGGAGGAGGAGGAGGTGGGGCTGGCCCTCTTTCTTCTCTCTCCCCGCCGCCTCGCCCTCGGACCCTCGGCGGGCAGATCGGCGGGCTTGGCCGCGACCGCAGCGCCGCTCTTGGGGTGCAGTTCCTGGGAATCCAAGTTCAGCATCGGCGCTGGTCCTGGTGTTAGATGCTCGTTTTGGGGGACCTTCCTGGGGCCCACCTGACGGATATATTCGACTCCAGTTCAACCCCAGTTCGCCTCAAGATCGAGTCAAAGTCGACTCAGGATCGACTCAGGTTTGACTCAAGGTCGACTCGAATCGACGGACGTTCGACGCAGCTTCGACGCACGAGTGGAGCGAGTGGCTCCAGGAAGGTCCTCTGAGTGAGCAGCCAACTAGTTTGCCCCGGAAACAGCAGGGGCGTTTTTTCCACCGTATCCGAACAAGGGGCGCTCTTTCCCCAAGCAGTGCTTGCCCTGAAGGAGTCCTAGCGGAGATTGAAAGATTTGGCGACAGTGTCCCGCCGATGATGGTGGCCGGCTGTGGATTCCCGGGTTCCTGGTTCTGGGTTTCCTGGTTTCATTGGTTCCGGGCCGAGTTCGGTGGGTTCCGGATTCCCGGGGTCCCGGTCGATCTCCTTGTCGATCAGACCATCCCATGATTGAGGTTCTTTGTTGGTGCAATTTTCACCGTGTCCGAACAAGTGTCTCTCGAAAATGGAAGCGGTGAGAAGCAGAGGCCACCGGAAACGGCAACAAGAACGGCTCCGGAGCTGGAGTTGGAGCCAGAGCCGGAACCGGCAAGCAGCCGCGGCGGAGTTGGAACAGAGCGGCGCCGGAACCCGGAGCGAATTGATGGGGGATCTCGAGCGTCGAGCTGCCCGACAGAGCCGGGGATCAGGAGGGGAAAAACACACAGACACAATTAATCGTCGACGCAGGAAAAGATGGGAAGTGGAGGGGACAGAGAAAACCCAAGAAAATATGGGAAAAGATGGGGAATCTTTTTATTTGTGTGTATTTATTTGCGCGTCCTGGGGCCCCTTTCTAGGGGAGGTCGGCGCGGCGCTGGAGAAGATCGACCTCGCCAGCGTGGGCGCCCCGCTGGGCGAGGGCCGCATCCTGCCCGTGAACGACATCGTCGAGGCTGCCGGCGCCCGGCGCCCGGCGTGCGCGTGCTGGTCGTCCTGCTCTCCCGCCTGCTTGCGTCCTCCTCCTCCTCCTCCTCCCTCTCCTCCTCCTACCTCCTCCTCCTCTTCCTCCCTCTCCTCCTCGTCCTCCTCCTCCTCCTCCTCCTCCTCCTCCTCCTACCTCCTCCTCCTCCCCCTCCTACCTCCTCCTCGTGGGGACGCGCACCAAAAGACTGTTCGGTGTTCGTCAGGGTGCCTTGGGTGTCCTCGTTCCCGGCGGTGTGCTGTGGCTGCCTCCGATGCTGAAGGGGCTGCTGCGCCCAGGGTTCAGGAGGGAAACAAAAACACACACAGACACAATTCATCTTCGATTCCCCAGAAAATACGGGAAAATATGGGAAATGGGGGGGAAGACAGAAACCCAGAACATATGGGAAAATATGGGGAATAGTTTTATTTGTGTGTATTTATTTGTGTGTCCTGGGGCCCCTTCAAGGGTACCTCGGGCTGCTCTCCGAATCGCGCTTCGCGCATGTTCTTCTCACGCCCTGGGGAGAAGCCTCTCGGGCCAGGGTTGTCTGGGTTCCCTCGACTGGAGCCCTTGGCTAAGAAGCCCAGACCCTGGACAAGTTAGGAAGAAGCTGTTTGGAGCTTCATGGCTGTGCTTCTTTCGGAGGGTTGCGGCCGCGTCCCCACTACGCAAGGATGAGCGGCTTTCCAAGGCTTCCCCTGCATCCTTCCCCTTCGGCCCATCCTTGGCCGTTTCGCTGGCCGCGCGCCGCTCGCAAGGTGTCGACACGGCCTCGAAGAAGAAATTCAGACATAAACATAAACTTTTGGCGCTCCGCGCGGATTCCTTGGATCTGCGTTGGGCCCCCCCCAGCGGCGCCTCCGGCGCCGCCCCTGGCGCGCTCCGCGCGCCAGGGAAGGGGGCCCAGCGCAGATCCAAGAAATCCGCGCGGACCGTCGAAAGGTTCTGCTTGTGGCGTTGTTCTGTTCCTTCTTCTAGTCATGCGGGTTGCCCCTACAGTCGGGGCCCTGAAGAAGGAACCCTTTTCGTTGGGGAGGGGCTCCGTGTTCCTTCATAGTGTCGCAGTTTGCCTTAGGTCTTCCTTAGGTTTTCGATGCGACATCGAAGTTTAACTTATAGAAAGAAGGGGCCTCGGTCCTTACTTAGGGTTCCTTAGGCCAACGCCCCGACTGCAGTCATGCGGGTTGCCCCTGCTCTTCACCCCGTCGTGCTGGCGTCGTGGCGACGGGCGGTGCTGGGCCGTCCCGTCGGCCTCGGGGGGCGGGGGGCCTGGCCGGGCCCCGGGACAGTCCGCGGAAGCCGCCCGGGAGGACTGAGACCCGCCATGGGTTCGAGGCGGGGGTTTAGACACAACCACCGCCTGAGGGGTCGATACATTTCGGCCCCCAGGGGCTTATCTATCTATCTATCTATCTATATATATATATATTAATATTAGTATTATTATAATTTGTTTTATTAGTATTATTATTATTAATATTATTATTAGTATTATTATTATCATTATTATTATCAGTATTCTTCTTATTATTTCATATATATATGTGTATCCCATGTCCGCCGCCCGCTGGGCTCCCAGAGTCAAGGGAAGAAGAACCGCCGGGACCCGATAATCGACGTTTGCTCAACGGTCCGGGGCGTTCACGAAGCGGCCCTGCCCTGTTCGATACCTTTTTCGGGTGCGTTTACTAAACGGCCCCGCTTTTCGGGGTGGTTATCAAACTTCGGTTCCCGGGCGGTGGATATGGATAAGTCTCCGCCTCGCACCAGGGATTTTGTACACGCCAGTCGCCGTAAAAACGTACTTTCTTGACTTTCGGATCTCAATCTATTTTAGGCGCCTTCCTGCTTGAATGATCGACCGGTTTCTCGTTTGCTTTCCCTTCAGGGGGCGGGCAGAAGCCCAATATACTTCTAGCGCCATCCTACTTCATGTTTCTACCTATTTTTTTCCGACCGATGGGCATTAAACAATCAACACATCGGATGTTTTGGTACGCCCCCTTCGTCTTCTTCTTGGCTGCTACTTCGTCCTCTTCATCTCTCTTTTCCTCCCTTTCCCTCTGTCCTTCTTCCGTTGTCCTTCCTCCGCCTCAACCGTTTCCGATTATGCCTTCGTTCTCTACCTCTGTCTCCTAGTCGTTGTCCTCCTTTTTCTCGCATGCTTGCGGTAGCTTCCGTCGCTTCTATACCTTTGGTTTCTCCCCCAAACTCCGCGTGGGCTCTTTTCTGGCTCTCTCTCCTCCCTCCTCCTGTGCTTCGCCCTCCTCTTTTGCACCGCCCCGGAAAGCTGTCGTGGCCTCTTCGCCTCAGCCTCATCTGCCTGCCGGAGGCGCCGCCGCTCGTCCACGCTCCTCCTCCTCCGCCGTCCTCTGCCTCTGCAGCCCCTCGCGGGCCAGAAGCGCAGCCGCCTCCGCCGCCTCGCGGTCTGGGCCCCTGGGCCGCGACCCCGCGGCTACGCCGCCATGGGGGAAGCGGGCCCTGAGGCACAGCAGTCCCGACGTTTGCCGCCGGGTTCGGGCTCGTCGGGGCTCCCCACGGGCCCTGAGACCGTCCGAAGACGGCTCAGGATGAAGATCTCGGCCTGGGAAAAATGCCGCAGGGCCCAGGCTCCGTTCCCCATCCTCGTCTCCCCCAATGCTAGGCACGGGGGCGTTTTGTTCTTGTTCGCGATGGCTCCGCGCAGAACGTATCCGTGCGACCGCGCAGCCGCGGGATCGTGCCCCAGTATCCAGACCGCGAGTGCGCGGATACGGATACGGATGCGTACCGACGTTCGCCGCTCGTGGGTCTCCTTCCTTGCGGCGCCAGAGGCCGAGTCGGCTTGACATTACCTTGCTGACGCAGCAGACCCCAAGAGCGACCGCGGCCGCGGGCGCTCGTCTGGTGGTGCACTGCCAGGGGGGCAGTGGCCGGCGCGACGTCCCCAAACGTTGCCCTGCGTTGAGGGGCTCTGGCTTGGCGGCGAGATGCGACACCTACCCTCGCCGATCAACGATTCAGGCAACTCGGTTCGAAGAAGGGAAAACTTGCAGCCCAGAAATTGGCACCAACAACACAGTGGGGTTGCCTCCACGCGTCGGGGAGCACTGGTACCAGTGCGACGTGGACTGAGTCGTGGTGCAGCGCACTGCTGCGGCTGCCCCCCATGGCAGGACAACTGTACTGGGGGGAGGGGTGTAAAAAAAGGGGGAAGATGATCCTAGTTTTCGGTGTTTGTGGCAATATTTCGGTCACCTTTCAAGCCAGAATTTTACCACCATCACCGAGATCGGGATCTTCTTACCTCGGTGGAGGCACACCGCCGATATTGGTGTTGGTGTCAACCTTTAGGCCTGCGGAAAGCTGGCTCAAACAGAAACTTTTGGACCACCATGGGCATTTCTAGGATCTGCGCGGGCCCCCTTGGCGGCGCCTCCGGCGCCGCTCCTAGCGCGCTCCGCGCGCCAGATACAAGGGCCCCCCGCCGATCTAAGACACCCGCGCGGACCTGGGACAATGGTGTGCTATGCAGTTTCTGCTATTCTATCGATGGGCGGCGGGGTAGAGTCCAGAATCCGTGGCACACGTGGCGGAGTCCGAACCCTGCCCCCGCCTCATCATCGGTCCAGAAGAGAGAGTCGATGCTTGGTGGGGCGTGGTCAGGAGCGAACGGAGGACGTACACGTACATGAACCCACGCTGGCTCCGAGAGAACGCGTTGCGCGAATGCCAACCTCACGCGGCGGGTCTCGCGGATCGAGGAGCCGCGCTCCTGCACCTGGCTGGGCGCGCAAGTCTTTTGTCTTGGCATCGCTCGGACGTGTGCTTTTTTCCTTCGGCGAGGACCTTCGAGGAGCATCCTCGACCATTTGGCGAAAACACCACGCACGAAACCGAAACAAAGCACAGGAAATGGACGTCCGAGCGATGGCCAGTTTTGGGTTCTCCTATATGGTTCGGAGGTGGCCACAGGTCCGCAGCGGCAGCGCCTGCCCCGCGCAGGCGCACGTCCTCAGAGGCCCGCGCTGCGCCGGGCCCCCCCTCCTTGTCGTGGCCTCCGGCGCCGAGCCACGAGATCCGCCCAGACGTGCAGCGGTCTGTGCTTCTGCAGGAGGGGGCACAAACACACACAGACACAAGTCATCGCCGACTCCCAGGGACATGTAGGAGAATATGGGAAGTGTGGGGGGGAAGACGGAAGCCAAGAAAATACTCCTGCTATTAGTGTCTACTCTCTTGCACAGGGTGTCTGGAGCTCCGATCGCTTTCTTTCGCGTCGCACACCCCCCCCTCCGCGTCCCCAGCGCCAGAGTGGGACCCCCACGCCGTGGCTCTCTGCCCCGAGCCCCCCCCGCGTCCCGAGCGCCCCAGCGGGAGCCCCGCCCCTTGCCCACTCCGCCACGAACGCTTTATTCCGCGTCGCACCCCCCGCCTCCGCGTCCCCAGCGCCAGAGTGGGACCCCCGCGCCGTGGCTCTCTGCCCTGAGCCCCCCCCCGCTTCCTGAGCGCCCCAGCGGGAGTCCCGCCCACTGCCCCCTCCGCCACGAACACTTTATTCCGCGTCGCACCCCCCCCCCCCCGCGTCCCCAGCGCCAAATTGGGACCCCCACGCCGTGGCTCTCTGCCCCGAGCTTCCCGCGTCCCGAGCGCCCCAGCGGGAGCCCCGCCCTTGCCCACTCCGCCACGAACGCTTTATTCCGCGTCGCCCCCCCCCCCGCGTCCCCAGCGCCAGAGTGGGACCCCCGCGCCGTGGCTCTCTGCCCCGAGCCCCCCCGCGTCCCAGCGCCCCAGCGGGAGCCCCGCCCACTGCCCCAACCGCCACGAACGCTTTATTCCGCGTGCGACGCGCACCACCTCCCCCACCTCCCTCCCGCGTCCCCAGCGCCCCAGTGGGGGCTTCGCCCCGTGCCCCCTCCGCCCCGACAATTTTATTCCGCCTCGCGACGCACACCACCTCCCCCCCCGTCCCCAGCGCCCCAGTTGGACCCCCGCCCCGTGGCCCTCTGCCCTAATCCCCGCCCAGTGCTCCCTCCGCGCCGACCATTTTATTCCGCGTCGCTCCGAGCATTTTATTCCGCGTCGCGACGCACACCCCTTCCCCCCCCTCCCCACCTGGGATTTGGGCCCCGTTGCTGGGTCCCGAGGGGCGATGTCTTGCCCCCTCTTCCCCCCTCCTCCACCTCCTCCTCCTCCCCCTTTCTTTTGGTGCAAGAGCCACATGGCGCACATGCCACTTGTTAATTGTTGTGTGCTCCAGGGCCCCTTCATTCCTGCAGCCCTCAGAGGAGCACTCAGCCATAACCATGCGCTCCTGGGGCTTCCCGGTCTTGCTTGCTGCCTCGAGCGGCGGCCAGGGACGAGCGGCCGAGCGCGAGTGGCCGAGGACCGTCCGTAAGCATGCCGGGTTCCCGAGGCCTGCCCTTGGCCAGCCATGCCATGATTTTTCTGCACGCCCGAAATGGGTACTGAAAGAATGCCCAACAACAGTTCCTGTTCATTTTGAGCAGGACTCGCTGTCCGCGCCGCCGCGGCCTGTGTCCATCTGAGACAGAAGGCCGCCTGCCCAACAGCGGCCGCTGTCGTTTTGGGACAAAATTGGTTGGGCATTGTACCCATTATTTCCGTACCCATTTCGGGCGTCCAAAGAGTTGTTTCGGGGAAGCGTAGGACTCGAGCTCTTCGGAACAAGGGGTTTGTCGACGATTCTTGACGGGCCCGCCCTGGATTCTGACGGTCCAGGTCTCACGTCGTGGGATGTCTGCAGCGGGAGCTCGCGTCAAATTTCAGATCGGGTCTTTGTTTTTTCTTGAGGGCCTCGCCCGGTCAACCCGAGTCCCCCGAACCCGAGGCTTACAGTGGGGGCGCGCGTCAAGAAACCATACGTTTTTCGTCCGGGTGTCTTGGGTGTCTTCGTTCCTCGCGCTGCGCGGTGCCTTCCCGCAGCCGTTGAAGCAGCTGCTGTGTTCAGGGTGCTCCAGGTGTCCCCTCGGGTGCACCTCGCGCGCGGGCTCTCATGAGCGGGTTGCTTGCGAGGGCTTCCTGCGGCCGCGCCCGCCCTGTGTGGAAGATGTCCCAGGCCAGGGTCGGTGGCGACGCCCGCTGTCTCCTCTGCTCTCCTCTCTGTGCGTGACCCTCAAGGCGCACGCGTCTCTGTGGGGTGTCCTGCGGCCCTGTGCCCCTTGCAGGCGCCATCCCACAAGGGGTGGGTATAGCAGACTGGTAGCATTGCCCGATCACCCCTCTCACGCCCTGTACCTCTCCCGGGACGTTTCCCTTCTGGGGCAGGGTCAGCGGCAGGTTCGGGCGGCCGCGGCGGCGCTGGCGGCCCCAGCGCGGGCGCCCGAGGCGGAGCGCCGCCGGCCAGGAAACGGCCGCCAGACATCTCTCGGCAATGTCGCGGGAGCCGCGATCCGGTAGAGGGAAACAATTACTGAACACCCACCCTCCCCCCGAACCTCAATGTCGGCACGCGCGGGGGGGTCTGCGGTCGAAGTGCATTTCATCAGACCCGCCGCCATCTTTGAACGTTGGGGGGGGGAGAGCCGCTGACATATGGGTGTTCGCTAATTTGTTTCGAGGCCTGTCGCTCGGGGGTGAACGGGCCACGATCCATCGCAGAGAGCACCACGCCACTGCCATGAACTCGGGCCTGTCTCTCCACAGGGGGGAAATTTAAAAATGCGATTAAACAATATTTGAAACAACAAACTAGCCAGGGGACGATGTCCTACCACTTTTGACCAGCATGTGTTGATTATGTTTTTTTTTTGGGGGGGGGGCAAGCTCCGCCTGTAGGAGAACATGCCCAACCTAACACTACCATGCCCCTCTCGGGTCGGGCGCAATGGGTGGGCATAGGGAAGAGGGGGGGGTACAAAAGTTGTTGCACATGCAGCTGGTCTCGGAAACCCTCCGCCGCGCGCTGTCATCTCGAGTACCTATGGACGCCTCCGACGCCAGGAGGCGTTGGGAAAGCCAGCGACGTGTGGGGAACTTGGTCCCGACCCCATCCCATCTCCCCTCTTCTCCTCGAGCCTCCTCCGCCGCCATTCCCCCCCCATCGCCCAAGTCCTCCTGATCCATCCCTCTCTCCAGGGTCCCCATGCAACCCAGCGAAGGCGATATACATGTGGTTTTAGGGTCAGTTGCCGATTTTAGTGTCCGCCGGTGCTGATTGCATCGGCGTGAGTTGTCTTGCTCGTTTGCGTTGCATGTCAAGCCAAACCAACCCTCTTCATCTCCCTCCCCACCAGGAGCTCGTCATGGTCCCGAGAATCCCGTACAAGGAGCTGGCGCAATTGGAGATGGAGTGGAAGACCGGCAAGTCGGCGGGGCAGGGAGGATGGGGGGTTTGCAGTACCGACAGTGTCCAGAAAGAGGAAGGGAAGACGGAGGGCTATGCGGAGGAGGAGAAAAGGGGGATATGATTCGGAGAGGACAAGTGAGGGAGGAGGAGGAGGATGAGGAGGAGGATAAGGGAGGAGTAGGAGGACAAGACGTCCGTAGCCATTTTGGCCCAAACCGTCCACCAGCGGGCGACACCCCTGATGCTCAAGCCGGCTAGCCCATGTGCGTCCAGGCCGGAGCGAGAGGGAGGCGTTGCGGTGGCTCTCGAGACTGGCACGGGACGCCGCTGCGTCGATGGGGGATGGTGCGGCGAAGGGATGCTCGAGGCGCGGAGCTGCTGGCGCTCGGGCTTCCGCGGATCGGCTGATGCAGCGCCTCAGGGAGCGGCAGGCGCAAACGGAGGTTCGCCTCGCTCTCGCCGAGCAGGCGCTCGACGTCATGGTCGGCAGCAGCGAAGCGGCGCAGCGTGTTCGCGCCTTGCTTCCAGCTCTCCTGGCGAAGCTGCAGGGCCGAGTTTGTGATTGGTTTGCTGTTGTACGGCGCAGCGTTGCCTTGCATGCGAACGCCGCTGGTCTGGGCGTGTCGATCGCCGACGCTGCGGACCTCCGACCGACGGGCGCAGCATGGGCCGCGCTTGGAATCACGAGAGGAGTCACCCACATGCCGTGCCGCCGAGGCCTCGTCGCTCGGCACGCGCTGCACATGCGGCGCGGTCGCCTTCTCCTCGTGCAAGGTTGTGCCGTCTGGGGTGCCTCTTGGCACGGGGACGCCTCGGGCTGCAGCGCGGCGGAGCGTGCTCAGGGCAGGAGCGGCGTGCTTCGTGCCGCCTGGGCCCATGGGGCATGGCCAGCCGCTGGTGGCAGACGGCGTTTTTCGGTCCCCATACGGGGGATGGTTGCCCTGGTGCTGGAGCTGCGGAGGTCGTCCGTGACGGTGCCGTGGACGGAGGCGGAGTTGCAGCAAATCAGGTTTATGGCGGCACGGTGCTGGCGCTCGGCGCCGCCGCAGTGCAGCTGTGCCAATCGAGTTTCGAGCGCTAGTTGGTGGATTGCTCGTGATCGCATCGCGCGTATTTGGCTCCACGAAGTATGTAGACCTGGAGATGATGATGGTCCCTCTCTCTCGGAGGGGTCGTTCCCCACGTGTGTCGCGGACGAGGCGCAGGAACTGCCCGTGGATGTCGGCATCGATGTCCATGGGATCGAGGTCTTCGTCGGAGGCCCCGTTCCTGGGCAGTGGATTCCGCGAGATCTCCGGCTCGACCCTGGAGAGGGCAGCCTGTTTTCTCCGGAGGTGTGATGCCTGCGCTGGTTGTACCGCTGTCTTTCTGGAGTATTCGGATATTGTGTCTATGGTTTCATGCGTCTGTGGTGGCACTGTTTTTGTTTCTCCGCATCGGGGCTTCCTGGCACAGTTACGCGTGTTGTATGTGGCTGCCGCCGTCATCGCGCTGTCGCTTGGAATCCGTGGGCTTGGTGTTCGGAATTCGTCCTGAACGTCAGCGGGGTGCACCAGCGCATGGATGCGGAGGTGCCTCGCTCCATGCTCCACGTGTCCTCCTTCGTGTCTCGTCGCTGGGCGAGGTCCCGGGAGCTTCTGAGGCATGGGCGTTGCTCTCCCCCAAACAAAAGTAGGAGGAGAAGGAGGACGAGAAGGAGGCGGAGTAGGACTTGGATGGCAGATCGGAATGGAGGAGGAGGCGGAGGAGGAGGAGGAGGAAGTACAGAGGAAGAGGGAGACGAGGAGGGGCGGACGAGGAGGAGGAGCAGAGCAAGCCCAATGTACCAACGATGCATCTGAAAACACCCGTCCCGTGCACGCCCCCTCCTCGTAAGGTTTTTTTTTTCCCAAGTATTCTTTCCTACTGCGGCAGCGCAACCCCTTGACAGACGTAGGCCCCGTCGGCCCTCATTCCGGCGAGACTCCGTTTCTTGAAGGACTCATTTTCTCCATTTCTCCGATTTTAAGACGTGAGAAAAAGGGAGTTGTCATACAATGAGGGGGCATGTCCAGCCAAAGATCCGTTTTGGGAGAAAAAGGGTCTGCCCTCAAATCGTGCGCGTTGTTCAATTCCAGAGTTCTTGTCATGACATCCTCGGAAATCTGAAACGATAGCCCCTGCTTTTTTATAGAGAGCCGCCATCCAGCTTTGTAGCTTCTGCGCAGTGGTGAAATTCGGAGCACAAGATAGAGATCGTTTCACGAGGGGCCCCATTATGACGACGAGCCGCCCTCCATCCGTGCAACGGCTGAAAGCTTTTGAGACGACCATAGTTTGCGTCACAGCGATGGCGCCATTTTGAAAAGGGGTCCTTTTCTGCCTCCCTGTATTCATTCTGCATGATTATGTGGGCTCCCTGCTTTTATTGTGGATGATTATGTGGGACGAGTACGTGCGGCGTCAGCACGAGCCCCTGCCATGCGACCGTGCCTCTCGCTGTTGAAGACGCGCGTGTGCGTACGGCGCCACGGCGAGAGAGCCGCATTCTGGAAACGACACGTGCTGCACGCGTGACCCGCCCGCTGGAGTTGTCCAGCTTCGAGGTCGTGAGGACTGTGAGGGGGCCAGCTCTGCCTCGTCAGCGCCTGCCCGACTGAGTGCCCCCCCTCCGCTGGTCATCGTCGTCGCCGCCTCCGTGCGAACGCCACTCGTCGCCGTGGACGGCGTCGGTTGTTTATTGTGTCTCTTCCCCCAACATCTGTCCTGACAACGCGTGTGGGTCACGTCCGATGCCACGCCCGCCCGCCCCGACGGAATGTCCCGCCCGTCAACGTCGACCGGGACCTCGAACAATTACGAAAGATGGAAAACCGGTTCCCGCAGATCGGAGGAGGAAGAGGTACCCATATTGCTACCTTCCTCTCGCTTTCCCCTTTTAGGGCCTCCTGGGAGGCCCTCGTCGCCACCGATGGATTCGCTTCGAAATCCTGGTCAGAATGCGCCCTGGGAGACGTCCCTGGGGTAGCGGTCTGGGTACCTTTTGGCTTCCTCAGCAGAGGGGTGCAAACTTGGGGCGCCACGTGGTAAACAAAGTCGCGCTGTCGACGTTCATCGCCCTAGCTGCAATATGATCCGGCTCGCCGCCAAAGCTCTTCGGCCCGCACAGCTGCGCGTGCAAGCCTCTCTACCCGGCCTCCTGGCCCAACTATTACACCCGCTGTTTCGAGACGCCGCCGCGGCGCCTGAGCGATGCGCCGCCCAGTTCGGGGCGCCCTCCCCAGACAGTCGACCCAATGGGACCTCCTCACGGGGTGCTCTCTATAGCAAGAGCCCCGAGGGGCATCCAGCCGTGGCTACCAGAGGGCTCCCCGAGGCCCCACACGGACGAGGAGCGCGCACAGGCGATGCTTGCCGGCCTCCAAAGGCCCCCCGAGCAGTCCCAGCTGGCGTCGACAGGGTGCGCAACCCGAAGCCCTGCCATCCTCCATCCCCGTGGGGCGCAGTAAGGTGGAGGAGGGAGGAGGAGGAGGAGGAGGAGGAGGAGGAGGAGGAGGAGGAGGAGGAGGAGGAGGAGGAGGAGGAAGGGAGGAGGAGGAGGAGGAAGGAGCCCAATCAGCAAGGGGGAGAGGGTCCTCGATCATCGATCCTCGATCCTGGGCGTACTGGGCAGGACTCGGTGACCGTGCTGAGCAAGTTGCAGCAGATGCACACTGCGGGGAAGGTGCCCTCCGGCTGGCTCAACCAGGGCGCCGTGCGCCAAGAGGACCGCGCAGCCTGCGCAGGGCGTGGGCTCGCCGCCGCCGCCGCCGTCGCGGTACATCGGCGGCGCTGCCGACGCGACCCTTCCCGGCGCTCCAGAGACCTTGAGATCTTGGCGTCGCAATTTTTCCGCAACAGGCGATCTTTGCCTTGTTTCGGACCCTGGAACCCTCACAGATCGATCCGGATCTAAAGATGCCGCGGAAGTATGGGGTTTAGGTTTCCGGTCGCGATGTTCTTCGATGGTGTATTTGTTTCGCAAGGTCGGACCTCAGGGGAGGATGAATCGCTCCAGAGATGTCTCAGAGCGTTCCAGGAGTTCAGAAGCAATCGACCATGGTGTTCTGACCGGGTTGTAGGTGCCAGCATGGAGCGGGTCTTGTGATGTACTGAGCGTGTGCTGGGTGCCGATGAACCGAGGTCCCGGTCAGTGACCCCTGGTCAGTTAGTCATTTCGCTACTTCTTGAAGGAAGCGTTCGGGAGCGGCGCCAGCGCCCGAGGCGCCCCCCAGATGCGCCGCCTGGCTCTCCGGGGATCCCCGATGCATGGACCTTCACTCGAGTTTGCTCTTAAGTCGGGCCTGTCCCTCTACATGGGGAATATTCTAAAATAGTTAAAAGATAAGATTCGGACGATTTTTGAACTAGTGTCGACTATTTTTGACGATTTTTGAATATGTAAAAAGGGTAAAAATAGTCAGGGGACATTTGGCTAATTTTTCATCCGTCGCCCAAAACCCGCCTGTGGGGGGACACGCCCGACTTAACCTAAGCTTACTCGCATGGGAGGGCCAGTGGACGCACCGGCAGCTCTCCCGCCCGGGCCAGATCTGCTCAAGATCGGTCCCCAGACCCCCACCGGGGGCTGAGAGTGTGGGGCGTGCAGGTGGTTTGAGCCAGCTCCTCCCCGTGAGGGCAGCGCGGTGCGGAAGCTCCCCGCTCGAGAGGGTTTCGCTGCGGGGGTTCGTGGTGCGGCCTCCACGGCGCCCGGCAGAAGAAGCGGAAGTCTGCGGACCCAGAGGGGACGAGAATCAGGAGGGGAAAAAGCGCACAGGCACAATGGATCGTCGATCCCTAGGGAAAAAGACGGGAAACTAGGGGAGGTGGGGGGGGAGACGAAAACCCTGAAAATATAGGAAGATATATGGGGAATCTTGTGATTTGGGTCTATTCTTGGTTGTGGCCCATGGCCCCTGCAGAGAAGGGCCGTGGCGGCGAGGGGCCCCTGGAGGGCCCACTGGACGGGCCGCCGTGGCTTCGAGGGGGCCCTCCGAGCGCAGATGTCCAGCGGCGGTGGTCTGGGGTCGTTGTTCGGCCCGCGGCCCGCTGGCTCTCTCGTCCGTCTCGTCGCTATGTCGGCGGCGATGCCTCGTGGGGTAGCATCGACGAGGGACGAATCGTGCGAAGTCACGGGGCGAGGCGACGCGCGACCCCCGAGCGCACCCCGCGGCAGGTACGCGGGGAGAGAGGGGGGGTTGCGCGTTGCGTTGTTTGGGGTCGTTGTTCGTCCCGCGGCCCCAGAATCGGGGGTGGACAGACCTCCTACCCTGACACGTCGATTAGCGAATTGGCCGTTTTCGGTTCGCGAGGGGGCGTCGCGGTCGTCATTTTTGCGGGTCCAGGTCCGGCGGTTTCGGTCCCAGGCCGTTTTCACTAAGGGGAGGTTTACTCAAGGGAGGTTTACTCAGGGGAGGTTTACTCAAGGGGAGGTTTACTCAAGATGTCCAGCGGCGGTGGTTTGGGGTCGTTGTTCGTCCCGCGGCCCCAGAAGCCATCCGCCACGAGAATACGTTTAAGTCGGGCCTGTCCCCTACAGAGGGATTTTCGACGAAAAATGAAACATACCCAACAAATACTCAAACAACAGTCAAAAAATAGTCAGGGGATTATGTTTTGAATATGTTTGACCTTTTTGGCGTATGTTTGTGATGTTTGTCATTTTTCGTTGAAAAGCCTCCTGGAGGGGGACAGGCCCGACATAAGAATACGTGCAGTCAGCCATGATAGTAGGGCTGGGCAGCCTCCCCAAGGGTACCCTTGCATCCTTGCCTCCTCGGCCCATCCTTGGCCAGTTTCGTTGGCCGCGTTGTGCTCGAAAAGCTTCGGAATGTCCCTCCAATGCCATTGCGTCCTTGTTCCGCATCCTTATTGTCCTGGTTGACTTTACGTAGCACCCCGCAGTTGCGGACAAGAGTGAGGGGCTTGCGGGGAGGTTGGCAGGCTGCGAGGCTCTGAAGAAGCCCGCCGCAGGCGACAAATCTTGACAGATCTGACAACGAGCCCACCGCAGTCGCCGATCGATTTTTCGTTAAGGCAATGCTGGTTGGTCGCAGGTGGGTTGCGGTCGCGGGTGGTTCACGGGCCGGGTCGCAGGAGGGTCGCGGGTGGGTCGCGGATGGGTATGTACACGGGCACCCTCGAATGGATTTCTCTTGGGTTTCAGGGGAAGGCGGCGGTGAACAAATCACCACCGAGAGCCAGCGGTTTTCTGCACCGATGCCCTCCCTGAAGACACGCAGAATTCGTCGGCGGGTGTTTGTGTATAGATGTTCGTGGCGTCAGCTGGGACCCCCCCCTCCCCAGGGGCAGTTCTGCGCCCCGAGTCTCAGGAGGGAAAGAAACACACAGACACAGTGAATCGTCGACTCCCAGAAAATGTTGGAACATAGGGGGGGGGGGTGGGGGGGGAGACTAAAACACGGAACGTATGGGAAGAGATGGGGGGCGCTGTTATCTGTGTCTGCTTGGCTGTGTGCCCCAGGGCCCCGTTCAGAGTCCCGCTCCCGGTGGCCCTCGGGCACGGAGGCCGGCCCCGGAGGCGAAGAGCGAAGAGGAGCGCCCCGTCCCGACGGAGTCACGGCGTCTGGGCCCCCCCGGCGGCGCCTCTGGCGCTCTGGCGCCGCGCGCCAGGGAGAGGGGGGTCCAGCGCAGAGCAGATGGGTCAGATGATCGTCAGATAAGACGCCTGCGCACCTAGCTTGAAGTCGGGCGTGTCCCCCTACAGGGGGATTGGCGACGAAACATAAAACATACGCAAACAATACCCCCCAATGGGCATCTGGGAGCACAGCAAGAGGCCACGAGGAAATGTGTCGGGGGCAAAGGAATCAAGCAGTGGCGAAGCGTCATGGCTCGCCTATAGCCCCACCAAACAGTGTTCTACGAACCCCTCCTGTAGTTCCCACGAGTTGTTCTTAGAACATTTCTATTTCTGGGACTGTCTTGGTTTAACACATCGGGTGAATGTTCTGAGAACATTGTTGTTGTTCTTAGAACACTTCTGGGTTCTAGGAACATGTCGTGGTAGGGCTATAGGAATGCCGGGGCGGTCGGCCCCTGCTCAAAGGAAGGGGGGGGATACGATTATGATGTTCCACCCTACTTCAACCTTGACCACCAGGAATAATTTCGAGCACCAGGCAAGTGCCCAGACACCCTAGGGGTTTTCACGTGTCGGGCCCTGGGAGATGCTCGTCCGACACTGTTTCGACACTCGTTCGACACTCTTTCGACGCTTTGCCGGGGCCCTGAAGAAGGAACCCTTTTCGTTGGGAAGGGGCTCAGTGTTCCTTGAGTGCTTCACAGTTTGCCTCGGGTTTTCCTTTGGTTTTCGATGGGAAATCGAAGTTCAACTTGTGGATAGAAGGGGCCTCGTTCCTTACTTAGGGTTCCTTAGGTCAAGGGTCCGACTGTACGATGGGAGCAGCATAAGCATACGGAAGGTTCGCGTCGTGTCGACCGGCGGCGGCCCCGCCGCCGGCGTTCCGCGTGGAACGCCTGCGGCGGCCCAGAATCGGCCGATGTTGAACGATCGGACGTGACGTTGCGGAAGCGGCCGATCGTGCAAGGTTGAACGGCTTTCGCGGTGTCAGGAACCAGCGCCGTGGTCGACACGTCACGAACTTGCAGTTTGCTCAGGGGGGGGCGCATCGACCCCCGATCGGCCCCTCATCGCCGATAGGGGCTCGATCGTCCCACCCCGCCCAGGAGCGTTCGGTGTCGCCGTCGATGGCCCGTGGCCGATCTATCGGCGGTGTATCGCCGATTCCAGGTCGACGCTTCCCCCCTGAGCGTATCCCCCTGTACTCCTATTTTCTCACCTGCCGCTGGGCTTGTTGTGCGGTCAGTCGCTTACGACGCCACCGCCAAAGTAAGCAATGTAAAACATAGGTTTTCGCCGGCGAGCGATTGTCATGCCCGACGTTTGCCAAGTGTCGATCGCGAAACGAGGGCGCTTTGGCGGCGCGCACAAGGGGGTGGGGGGAGGGGGGGGGGCTTCTTAGAAGCAGGCTGCTTCTTAGAAGGCGCCGGCCTTACATCTACAATGAAGGCCCGCGCCTTCAAAGAAGCAGGGGTGCTTCTAAGAAGCCTTCCCTCCTCCCCCCACCCCCCTCTGCGCGCCGCGAAGCGCTCAGTGGTGCACCAAAGGCGCCGTCGCCAAAAAGGCAGTCACTAATCTCACGCATCCAGGACATGGTGACGCGGCACTGCCGCCGGACATCTGCTTGCGGCAGGAAATCGCTCGACCGCAGCGTTCGGCGGAAAGCCTCCCAGCACGGAAGGCTCTTCGGCCTCCGGCCGCAGGCTGCCCACGCGTGTCGCAGCCGTGGCCGGGCACTGAGACCAGGGGGGGTGGCACTCGGGTCGTCGGCGGTCTGCGGTCCTCTCCCTCCATTCCTTCCCTCCTCCTCCTCCTCCTCCTCCTCCTCCTCCCTCCTCCTCCTCCTCCTCCTCCTCCTCCTCCTCCTCCTCCTCCTCCTCCTCCTCCTCCTCCTCCTCCTCCTGCCCACTACTTCGTTGTAGATTGCCAGACGTCACAGCAGGAGAGGCCGCATTTCATGGCCATGGTTCCGTGCAGCATTCCTTTGCCATTCCATTGCCATTTGAGGTCTCATTGTTGCGCTGAGACCTTGCCGGGGGATGGAGGCCGGGCTGGCGAGGCTGCTCCACGACGTCGGGCAGGCGCTGACCACCGCCTTCGTCGTCCGGGCCTCGGTGGCCGACTGCC